AGGCGGGTCTTGAACTCCTGACCTCAGGTGATCCGCCTGCCTCAGCCTCCCAAAGTGCTAGGATTACAGGCACGAGCCACCGCACCCGGCCGACACCTTCTTAATAACTGTGTGTCTTTGTTAACATAAACCACAGTTGATAAAATCACTGTCTGTTTATTTCATTTTCCCTATACAAGAAGAACCTGAAAATGAAGCTTCTGTTAAACCACTTAATCATCACCCCATTATCTTTAGGTCTTGGGCTTAATTGTCACCTCCTTGACAAAGTGATCTCTGGCTACTCTCTTATAATATGATCACTTCATATTATAATTTTTTAATCATAGCACTCCGATTTTTCTTTCATGACATTTATTACATGGGTGCAGTTATAATTATATGCATATGTGTCTAATTATCTGCCTTCCTCACTGCTCTGTGAGCCAGCTGGCTTTCGGTGAATACTTGTGGATGGAATAAGATGAGAAGCATCACTGGGAAGATTTGTGCTATGGTGTGAATGTACGCGTCTCCTCAAAATTTAGCCAGGCAGTGGTGGCTTGTACCTGTATTTTTTTTTTTAATAATTTAAATAATTTCTTATTTTTGAGGTAAAATATGAGCAACTACCAGGAAATTGTTTTGATCTGATTTTTCCTTAAATAGAGGAAAAGGAGAGGAGTAGGAGAGAACAAAAGTGTCAGTTTATCTTTAGCAAAACAAGCTGTTGGCAAAAAATTGGCTTCAGTAAGGGGACAGTGACCAAGGACCCCCTCCCCACACAGTAAGTTAGATGGTCTAACCTAGATGGTGTAGTTTAGTAAAGAAGGAGGTGGGTAGGAGGAAAGAAAACCTTCTGGAAGCTGAACTTGTAAACTGAAGGGTATAAATTGATCGTGTCATTATGGTCATTAAAGAGCAATTGCAGGAATAGGCCCAGTTTTCTTGGGCTGGTATTTGCATGAGTGTGAGTGTTGATACTTCCCGTTTCATGAATGAGATGGGGAACAATTAAGGGTGACCAGGGCATCTTCTTAGGTACCTAATCACTCCAGTTCTTCCCTAGTCTTCACAGGAGACCCTCATTGAATGGCTTTGAAGAATGTGAATTCTCACATTATCAACCACAGTCTGAGTGTCTCAGAGGGGAAGGTGCGTAGTCTCTTTTTGCCAGGAATCTTTAAAAACAGAATCAGGGCCTTTCAAGGGCTTTCTAGAAGTTTAAAAATTAACACAATTTGAATCATTTTTCAGATCGTTTGAATCCTTGCAAATCATTTGAATTTGAGCTTTTTTCCCTCTAACAATGGCAGTTGGATATGTCACAGGGCATATGTTTATTTTATTTTTTATTTTTGCCTTTAAAAGAGATGTTTATTCATCATGCATATGAATCCAAGTGTTTGGGTGGATATAACAGAACCAAATGTAACAGAAATTTAAGATCGTCTTTCCCTCTAAGATGAAAAATATATGATATTTTACTGAATAAAATTACTAAACATTTTTAGACCCTGAGGTTGTATATTTTATGATGTTGGCTGCTGCATAGTTGCCATGATTGCTTTTTCAAATTGTTAATTTCTTTCTTTTTAAAAATGTCCATTTTTATTTTACATTCAGGGGTTACATATGCAGATTTGTTACATGGGTATATTGCATGGTGATGAGGTTGGGCTTCTATTGATCCTGTCACCCAGATAGTGAACATAGTACCTAACAGGATGTTTTCCAGAAGGGCATATGTTTAATAAGATACCACAGGGCAACAAAAAAGGAGGAAGATGTGGCTCCTGCCCACAAGGAATTTGCATTCTAATTAGATTATGACAGTATAGCCCAGATTCTGTTTCAGATGTGCCAGTTCATGTGCATTTTCCATTTTAGATTTCTGAAACAGAAACTTCTTGTTCTTTAAAGTTCTTGTTCTTCACAAGTTGTTTTATACTAAGGAAAGAAAGAAAAAAAAACACACAGAACATTGGGTTCAGATCTCTCCAGAAATGAGAGTACTGCATTATATGAAGAAATAGAAAGAGAAGAATATTATGAGTTTGCATACACCTTTTATCTTTAGACCAGGGTTTCTCAACTTTGGCACTATTGGCTTTTGGATCAGAATGGTTTTCTTCTGGGAGCCCATCCTGTGCATTGTAGGATGTTTAGCAGCATCTCTGGCCTCTAACCACTAGATGTCACTAGCACGCTCTCCCAGTTTTGCCATCTGAAGATGTCTCCAGACATTGCCAAATGTTTTTGGGGGACTGAATTGTTCTCTCTGTTGAAAACCACTGATTTGGGCACTCTCAGGAGAGCTCTTTGTCTGTATTGCTGGAGCACTTTTATAAATAAAACAAAACAAAACACTAAGACACGAAGGTTAAGATACTGATTTACGGTCAGGCACTGTGGTTCACGCCTGTAATCCCAGCACTTTGGGAGGCCGAGGTGGGTGGATCACTTGAGACCAGGAGTTCAAGTCCAGCCTGGCCAACATGGTGAAACCCCATCTCTACTAAAAATACACAAAAGTTAGCCGGGTGTGGTGGCATGCGCCTGTAATCCCAGTTACTCAGGAGGCTGAGGCAGGAGAATCGCTTGAACCCAGGAGGCGGAGGTTGCAGTGAGCCAAGATCATGCCACTGCACTCCAGCCTGGGAGACAGAGCAAGACTCCATCTAAAAAAAAAAAAAGAGAGATTGACTTCCAGCTTTCAGTAATTACCGAAGGAAGAGGATTATCTGCTCTGTCAGAGTAAACCAGGGGCAGGTTTCTGCTTTTTATGGAAATAGGAGGATGATGCTGCCACTGACGGGGATTTTAACAGAAAAAAAAAAAACACCCCCAGTTCTTATCTTTTTTTTTTTTTTTTTTTTTTGAGACAGTCTTACTCTGTCACTCAGGCTGGAGTGTAGTGGTGCAATCTCGGCTCACTGCAACCTCCATCTCCCGGGTTCAAGCGATTCTCCTGCCTCAGCCTCCTGAGTAGCTGGGACTACAGACGTGTGCCACCACACTCGGCTAATTTTTTTTGTATTTTTAATAGAGACGGGGTTTCACCGTGTCTTGATCTCCTGACCTCGTGATCTGCCAAAGTGCTGGGATTACAGGCGTGAGCCACCGCGCCCGGCCAGTCTCATCCTTATTCTTAGTGGTAGGGCGAGATGCAGAGGGTCGTTGGTAATGATTTCTCTCATGTTTCTCCTAGTTTTCCTGTTGTTCTTGATTCTACCCATCCATGGTGCTTCTAAAGGACAGGGAACTGGACCACCCCAAACTGATACACATTGGTTCTGCTCATCACACATGGGGGTCTCAACAGGCCGATCTGTGTTATCAGCAAGTCTGCTGATACTTATCAGGGACTTGCTACAGAGACCTGGTGCTTGACTCTGGAGGACAATCAGCATCAGCAATGTCTTCAGTGCCTGTGGGGGATGAATTGTATGTGTACACCTTAATAGATAATCTCCACATCCCAGTGGCACACTGCGACCCCCAGGGACCTTAGCAATGCTGATGTTCTACCCAGGTTTTGCAGGATGGCTGCCTGGTCCTCAGAGTTTGCTTACATAGGAGGTGAACTCAACTCAGCATGCACAGTTATGTGGGGCGAGCATCTTAAGGATGCAGACTACGCAAGCCTTGATTTCTACCAGCCAACCAATTAAACACTGACAATACTGATTGAATGTTTCCTTTCCCAAAGTTCTGCCATTTCCTTTTTTGAAAATAAATCTGTTATTGAAGATTGAATTAATTTGTCTTTGTATTTAAAGCCACTTTGGGGAGTTGGGGCTTGGGAAATTCTCAATGAAGAAAAGAAACTCATTTATGAATACCCTATTTCCACATGGCACTAAACTCCATGCATTATGCTGTGATCACAGCACAGATTGCACTTGGTTTAGGTGAGCTTAGTAGGCAGACTGAGATGTGTTGGTTTTGCAACATGCCAAAATGCTATTCCTCTGCCAGGTGCTCTCTGACCTATCTTTATCCTCTACTTTTGTCTATCGATTAAACCCCTAAGTGGCTGTATTGGTCAGGGTTCTCCAGAAGCAGAATCAATAAGGTATATAGACAGGGAGATAGATGAGCGGGAATTTATTAGTGGCAATTACTCACACGATTATAGAGGCGGAGAAGTCGCATGACAGGCCATCTGTAAGCCAGAGACCCTGAGATACTGGTAGTATGGGACAGTCCAAGACAAAGGCCTCAGAACCAGGGAAGCTGATGGTATACCTATCAGTTTGAGGCCAAATGCCTGAGAACCCAGAGAGGTGCTGGTGTTAGTTCTGGAGTCCAAAGGCTGGGAAGCCTGTAGCTGTTACCCAAGGACAGGAGCAGAAGAGTGTATCCAAGATCCAGCAGATAGATGGGCACATTCAGTTTTTCCATGTTTTTGTTCTCTCTGGACCCCCAGCAGTTTGGATGATACCTGCCCACATTGAGGGCGAATCTTTCCCACCTAGTCCACTCAGAATTACATGCTAGTCTCCTCTGTAAACACCCCCAGAGACACACCCCAAAATAATGCTTTACCAGGTTTCTAGGTATTCTTTAATCTAGTCAAGTCAACACCTAAAAGTAACTATCACAGTGGCTAATTCCTAAGGCTTTTAGTTTCCATTGGCCCTGACAGGTTCTCCAGAAGTACAGTAGACAGGCTTTGTTTTCTTTTTCTCTTTTGAGACATGGTTTGGGTCTGTCGCCCAGGCTGGAGTGCAGTGGTGCGATCATGGCTCACAACAGCCTTGACCTCCTGGGCTCAAGCAATCCTCCCACTTTAGCCTCCCTGGTAGCTAGGACTACAGGTGTGTACCACCACGCCTGGATACTTTTTTTTGTATATTTTGTAGAGACAGGGTTTCGCCGTGTTTCCTAGGTTGGTCTCAAACTCCTGGCCTCAAGTGATACACCCGCCTTACCCTCCCAAAGTGCTGGGATTATAGGAGTGAGCCACCACACTCGGTCCAACAATCTTGATAATAGCCTGACCTGCTTTCTCCTAGTGCATCCACTCTGGGAGAGCGTGGACCTGGTTCCCGGGGGTGATCGACAGTCACCCATCAACATTCGGTGGAGGGACAGTGTTTATGATCCCGGCTTAAAACCGCTCACCATCTCTTATGACCCAGCCACCTGCCTCCATGTCTGGAATAATGGGTACTCTTTCCTCGTGGAATTTGAAGATTCTATAGATAAATCAGGTGAGGGCAAGATATGGTGGTCTTGTAAGGAGTTAAAGAAACAGTGTCATGTTAACACGGACACATCAAACTCTCGCCATGACAGTATTGACCTCTTTGTTAGCAATGGCAAGGAACTCATTGATCTTAACTTTTTGAATGTGTGAAAAAAATTCCTTCTAGTTTTTAATGCATATTTTCTTCAACTAGTATAGGTAGTATTTTTAATTAATACATTTATCTCTCTCTCTCTATGTATAGATTTACAATTGGTATAGAGCATAGGTGTGAAATGGAAGTTTTGCCAGAAATTTATTTTGTATGTGTATATTGAATATGTACTAATTTTTTCCTTTGCTTGTTGACTTTACGAGAACTTTTACATTAAACAGTAACACTGTGTAATCAGATTTAACTTAGCAGATTACAATACACTTGAAATGGGGCCAAAAGAATAGTCATGTGTGCATTAGGTTGCAAAGACTAGTCATATATTAGAGAAATGGAAATTATGATCTGGTAATTTTGTTAAATAAACAGTGTTACCTACCTAGTTTAAAAGAACACTTTAAAAGAGTTTTTCAAATTCAAATATTACATTGATTTTGAATCTTTCTTTAACCTTCCTGGATATAAACTAATGTGAATGATTTCAAAGTTTACCTGAAACTTCTTAGTGTCTGTGGAAGATAGAAGGTGGCTAATTTTGTAAAGATTTATTTTCCCTTTTTTTGTTGTTGTTTACGTGTTTGTTTTACTGCATTTGATGATGTCAAATAGTCCAAATTAGTGTCAAAATAATTATTATTCGAAATAGTTTAAAGTAGTCATCAACCAGTGGTAATTTTGCCAACTTTCCCCCATACCCCTCCATATCCCTCACTCCCCACTGCAGGATCCAAAGGCGTTTTTGGTTGTCACAACTTGGGAAACAAAATTGGCGTCTAGTGTGTCAAAGTCAGGGATGCCGCTAAAGATCCTGCAGTGCACCAGATAACCTTAACGAAGAGTTATCTAGCCTCCAGTATCAACAGAGCTAAAACTGAGAAATCTTGATCTCAAGGAAATTTGTTTTCTCTCATGAATGTTAGGAAATGAGTCCATAAAAATGATAATGAGACCAGGAGCGGTGGCTTACGCCTGTAATCTTAGCACTTTGGGAGGCCGAGGTGGGCGGATTGCCTGAGCTCAGGAGTTCGAGATCACCCTGGGCAACATGGTGAAACCCCGTCTTTACTGAAATACAAAACATTAGCCAGGTGTGGTGGCGCATGCCTGTAATCCCAGCTACTTGGGACGCTGAGACAGGAGAATTACTTGAACCCGGTAGGCGGAGTTTGCAGTGAGCTGAGATCGCACCACTGCACCCCAGCCTGGTGTTAGAGTGAGACTCTGTCTCAAAAAAAAAAAAAAAAAAAAAAGTAAATATTCACTCTTGCATTTATTCTGGCTCTGAGTCTCAATTGTGTCTTTATTTTCTTTGTATTTTGCTAGTGGTGCTCTGATACTTAGACATGGCACTCTGGCCCAACTACAAACAGACTGCTCCTCCAATGGGCTTAATCTGTCTCTGGTTTTCTCCCTTCTGATATATTTCTCTGCTATGATTCAGAAGGTATTTGAGTCTGTCTTTAAGAGTTTAGGTGTCTCCATGTCCCCAACTTTCCTTTCTTCTCCATGGTATGACACAGCCCCCAAACCATGAACATCTTACTTTCATATCTCAAAGTAGGAAATTCTTTTTCCTTCCAGATTCATGGGCATCTTTCTTCCCCCCTTTTTTTGCATAAAGTTATTTATTTAAATTTTATATCTGTGAATTCACAGGTTGATGTGTTTCATTATATTGTTTCTAACTCTCTTAAAGTAACTTACTATATAAGTGAAAGCTTCTTATACCACGTAAAACCATCTCGTGTGCCATCAGCGGTATATGTACCATGCTTTGGGAAACACTGTTTAAGGCCATCTGGGTCTGTTGGTGGAACAGCTAGAGAAGGGAGGAATAAAAAAGATAAGAAAGAAAAATGATATTGATGTATGTTGTTTTAAAATATATTTAGTGGGTATAAGTTTAGTTTTGTTTTGTTACATGGATATATTGTGTAGTGGTGAAGTCTGGGCTTTTAGTATACCCATCATCACGCATCTTTCTTAATTTCCCCAAAACTCTAGAGTGTGCCCCCTTCTCAACTGGAAGCCCATAATATTACCTTGTTTATACGGATTCCAGAAATCTTCAAAACAACAAGCTAAATTCCTGTGTTTTGGATGACTATCTGGCACTCTGGTGAGCTCTACTTGTCCCCTTGCGGCTCTACCATTATCCCTGCCAGATGTAAACTAATGGGCAGACCCAGTCTATAGGATACCAACTCTCATCTATTTACTGTGCATGCATAGCAATCCTTTTGAATTCTCAACCCCATCTAGGGCCCTAGCAGCCTGCTTTCTTCTGGGGATCCTTTGTATTGGTCAGCTTTCTAGAGCCCTTGACAGTATAGGGACTCTCTGTTGCCAATATATCATTGCTTCGTTGAGTTGAAAGTCTTAGAAAGTTGCTTAATGAGTTTCTTAACCAAGTGACTTGAGCCCAAGAACTTTTAGAGCAAATAGCTATTTTATTTTTTAGTCCTGTCTTTTTCTTTTGAACAACAGATTCTAGAATTCTTTTTTTTTTTTTTTTTTGAGACAGGGTCTCACTGTGTTGCCCAGGCTGGTGTGCAGTGGCATGATCGCAGCTCACTGCAACCTCAACCTCCTGGACTCAAGCGATCCTCCCACCTCAGTCTCCTGAGTAGCTGGGACTACAAGCGTGGACTACATGTGCCACCACGCTTGGCTAATTTGTTTGTTTGTTTGTTTGTGTGTTTGTTTGTTTTTGTTTTTGAGATGGAGTTTTGCTCTTGTTGCCCAGGTTGGAGTGCAGTGGCGTGATCTCGGCTCACTGCAACCTCTGCCTCCCGGGTTCAAGTGATTCTCCCACCTCAGCCTCCTGAGTAGCTGGGATTACAGGCGCCTGCCACTACACCCTGCTAATTTTTGGTATTTGTAGTAGAGACAGGGTTTCACCATGTTGGCCAGGCTGGTCTGAAACTCCTGACCTCAGGTGATCCACCCCCCGGCCTCCCAAAGTGCTGGGATTATAGGTGTGAGCCACTGCACCTGGCCTTTTTTTTTTTTTTTTTTTTTTTTTTTTTTTTGAGATGGTGTCTGACTCTGTCGCCCAGGCTGGAGTGCAGTGGTGTGATCTTGGCTCACTACCACCTTCACCTCCTGGATTCAAGCAATTCTCTCACCTCAGCCTCCTGAGTAGCTGGGATTACAGGCACATGCCATCACGCCCGGCTAATTTTTGTATTTTACTAGAGACGGGTTTCACCATGTTGGCCAGGCTGGTCTCAAACTCCTGACCTCAAGTGATCTGCCCACCTTGGCCTCCCAAAGTGCTGAGATTATAGGCGTGAGCCACTGCGCCTGGCCCCGGCTAATTTTTGTATTTTTTGTAGAGATGGGGTTTCACTGTGTTGCCCAGACTGGTCTTGGATTCCTGAGATCAAGTGATCCTCCCACCTCGGCCTCCCAAAGTGCTTGGATTACAGGTGTGAGCCACCGGTCCAGGCCTCAAGAATTCTTATCTACCCATTTGCATGAGTAATCTGAGATGGAAAACAAGTCATCCACGTTTTCGTCATAATAGCTTCTTTTTAGATACCTACAAACCCAACCGACTAATTCACCCCTTGACCATGTCTTCCCTAGGTGTGTCAATCACACACTTACAAAATATGCAAGAAAAATTGTAGAGAGTTTGCTAATATTTTTCTTGTTTGGTTGGAAAGAACTAAAACTGATAGCCCTTTTAAATTACGCTTTAATAATTATTTTCTTTAAGATAGCATCAATTTTTAGTAATTGCCTAACTTTCTCTCTCTCTCTCTCTCTCTCTCTCCACCTTTCAGTGACTGCCTCTTATTTCCTGCTTATTCTTCGTTGCTATTTCTCCATGTTGTTGCAAATCAATAGCATGCAAAGAGGAAAAAAAGAGTGAATGAACATAAAAAATAAAAAGTGAAAGAAAGCAAAGACATTCTAGAAACAAAGAAAGGCAAGAAACAATTCTAGAAAAGTAAAAACCTAATAAATATCGATGTCTATAAATTTCAAAGAAAAAACCCTAAGAAATGCTGCCACAGTGTGCTTTATGAGGATTGGAATAAAGTGCAAGGAAAAGGAGCTGGGGAAGGTATGTGACAAAAACATCATACCAGTCCTTTTGGGATGCAGCTAAAGCAGTGCTTAGAGGGAAATTTATAGATGAAAATGCCTATAATAGAGAAGAACTTTCTCAAGTCAGTATCTCAGCTTTCCACCTTAAGAAACTAGAAAAAGAAGAACAAACTAAACCCAAAAGCAAGTAGAGAGAAGGACATAATAAAGAACGAGCAGAGATCAATGAAATCAAAAGTTGGTTCTTTGGGAAGATCAACAAAGTTGACAAACTTTTAATTGGGTGAGACCAAGAGAAAAATAAAAGACAGAAGACTCAAATTACTAAACTCTGGAATGAAAAAGAGGATAACATGACCTACCTTAATAGGATTATAAGAGAAGGTATGTGAACATCTCATACCGCAGTCCTCTGCTGGGCATTATTTAGTATTTGGTTCCCCTGAGTAGGACACTGTTATTGATTTGAATGAGTGCATATAAGAGAGTCGAAATACTGTGGGGAAGGGCACTAAATTATCCCTGGATGATCCCTGTCAATTATCATGTCCTCTGGAATTCCTCTTATTGGCACTGTCAACAGGCATTAAAGAGATGGAGAGGTGAGTGCCTTTGTTCTCCTCCTCAGGGTGCTTCCTGCTCCATCCTGCTTCATCCTGCTTCCCTGACTTTATACTCCTCTGGGGCAGTGCCAGTGAACCTAGTAAGAATGCTTTCACAAACATTTTAAGTTCTCCTTCCCTGTTTTGGTCCTACATTTACTTTAAAACACATGTACACAGTTTAAAACACACATACACAGTTTAAAACATGTACGCAGTTTAAAACACACATACAATTGAATGATTTTTAAAGGAAATTTACAAGAGTTGTGCAACCATCACTATAATCTAATTTTAAAACATTTCCATCACCCCAGAAGCATTCCTCGTGTCCATTTCCTGCATTTGCTTTTATCTGTATGGGTTCTATGTATTTCCTTTCTCTTCACCATCCCTTTCTGTGTCAGCTCCTTCTCTTTCACGTTGAAAAGCAAAAGGAGGGAGTGAATATTACAGATTGCTTACTACCAGCCAGACTCTCTGCTGAATGTTTTATATTTGTCATGTAATTTTTTACAAGTTTAATCCTTTCTCAGAGCATGGAAAGAATAAAATATCAGGCCAAGCATGGTGGCTCATGCCTGTAATCCCAGTGCTTTGGGAGGCCGAGGTGGGTGGATCACTTGAGGTCAGGAGTTCGAGACCAGCATGACCAACATGGTGAAACCCCTTCTCTACCAAAATGCAAAAATCAGTCGGGCATGGTGGCACACATCTGTAATTCCAGCTTCTCAGGGAGGCTGAGGCAGGAGAATCGCTTGAACCTGGGAGTTGGAGGTTGCAGTGTGGCGAGATTGTGCCACTGCACTCCAGCCTGGGCAACAGAGTGAGACTCTGTCTCAAAAAAATAAAAGAAGAAAATATCAACCTCAAATACATAAGTATATATTTATTTGTTATGTGTTATGACTACTCTGCTTTCCAATTCACTATCTTCTGTCTACCTGCCCCATTTCTTTGTTTCTTTCCTTTTTTTCTGTAGAGACTGGGTCTCACTATGTTTTTCAGGCTGGTCTCAAACTCCTGGCCTGAAGTGATCGTCCCACCTTGGCCTCCCAGAGTGCTAGGATTATAGGTGTGAGCCACTGCTGGGCCTGCCCCATTTCTTGATGACTATGTTTCCTCATTTCCTGCATTCATCTGCCCCACCCAACCCCACCTTTTTCCTTTAATCTTGCTGAGGTTACCAGTGACATCCCAATTAACTAGCCTGACAGCTGCTTGACAGCTGGGATTACAGGCATGAGCCACTGCGCTCGGCCAAAAACGTCTTATCTGGGTCAGGTGCAGTGGCGCAACCGCCTGTAATCCCAGCACTTTGGGAGGCTGAGATGGGTGGATCTCTTGAGCTTAGGAGTTCGAGACAAGCCTGAGCAACATGGCAAAACACCATTTCTACAAAAAAAAAAAAAAAAAAAAAAAAAATTAGCCTGGCATGGTGGTGCACGCCTGTAGTCCCAGCTACTCAGGAGACTGAGGTAGGAGAATGGCTTGAGCCCAGGAGGAAGAGGTTGCAGTGAACTGACATTGTGCCACTGCACTCCAACCTGGGAGACAGAGTAAGACCCTGTTTTGAAAAAAACAAACCAAAAAAACACTTGTCAATATTTTGCCTATAATATATTGGTAATGTGTGTGTGTGTGTGTGTGTGTGTGTGTGTGTGTGTGTGTTTGAGACAGAGTCTCGGTCTGTCACTCAGGCTGGTGTGCAGTGGCATGATCTCGGCTCATCACAACCTCCGCCTCCTGGGTTCAAGTGATTCTTGTGCCTCAGCCACCTGAGTACCTGGGACTACAGGCATGGGCCACTACGCCCAGCTAATTTTTTTTTTTTTTTTTGTATTTTTAGTAGAGATGGGGTTTCACCATGTTGGCCAGGCTGGTCTCAAATTCCTGACCTCAGATGAGCCACCCACCTCAGCCTCCCAAAGTGCTGGGATTGCAGGTGTGAGCCACCAGGCCAGGCCAGTGTGTTTTTTCAGTTGACATATTTGTATATATTTACCAGGTACAATGTAATCTTTTGATATATGTATGCATGGTGGAATGATTATATCAAGCAATGAAAATATTCATCACCTCACATGCTTACCATTTTTTTTTTGTAGTGAGAAAATCTACGGTTACTCTTTTAGTAATTTTGAAATGTGCAATACATTGTTATCAAGTATGGTCACTATGCTGTGCAATAAATCTTGAAAACATATTCTTCCTAACTGAAACTTTGTACCTTTTGACCAACATCTCCAAGGTGATCGTTTTTGACTTGCAAATTTCCTATTCCATTTCAATGAAACGGAAAGCAACACCAGTATCTTAAAAAATTGAAAAACAAAGTGTCTGTGCATAAAAAAAGAAGGATCCCTTTATCCCCATATTTCAGTATTATAAAGTCATGTTGGATAAATATGCTGAGAGAAATTTGCATTTTATTGCACACAAAAGAAAACTGGACACAATAATATAGGATATAAAATTAAGTCAAGAATTGGCCTTTAACAATTGTTTGTAGCTTGTTATGTAGTTAAATCTTGATGTTATTTGGTCTTGTCCTTATACGTGCGTGCATTGACTTCATGAAAATCAAATTTATAATCACTTGTATATAATTCAGTGTAATCCATTTAACACAGTTCACATGGAGGGTCCACTGGAGATTTGGCCTTTCACCCACATTTCCCCACTGCACAAATAACTCTTCTCTGAATTGTTGGATGTGCCATTTTAGTGATCAAGGGAGGACCCCTGGAACACAACTACCGATTGAAGCAGTTCCATTTTCACTGGGGGGCCATCGATGCCTGGGGTTCTGAGCACACCGTGGACAGCAAATGCTTCCCAGCAGAGGTATGTTGAGAAGGTCAGGAACAGTGACAACTGTAGAGAAGTGGGGATAATTCTGAACTTTTAGTTGTAAGAAATTAGCAGAAAGAATCAGGTGATTCCTATAAATGCTAAATAGCTTTCTCAGGCAGTTTTGATCATTCTCAGCTAAGACATGTAAACATGTTAACTTCTCTCATCTCAAATAATATAGTTGAAATGAACCTTAAGATCCTGAAACTGAATTCTTCTGGAATTCGAAGGTGGACTCAAATAGTAGCCCAAAGTAATAACCCAGGGAACATTGTGGAGCCACAGGTCGAATTAATGCAAGTTTGCGGTGGTGGGAGCCTAAATGAAGGCTGTGGCAATAGAAATAGAGAAAAGGAGCAAGATTTATCAAGCGTTTCGGAAATTAAAGCAACAGGACTTGAAGGTGGGGTTCTCTTCAGGATAGGAGAAGGCAAAGTTAACCATGATTTTGTGGTATCTCACTTGGGAGGCTGGGTGATAACGCATTCATAACTGGTGGATGAGGAATAATTTGTAGGGAAATAAAGGGAGATTTTAAGGAAATAGAATTTCTTCTTACAACTTTTTTCCTAATTCAGTTGTAAATGTTATGTAAAAAATAAAAGCACATTTAAAAATTTATTTTATATTTGTTTCATTTTATTTTGTTTTGTGAGACAGGGCCTCACTCTGTCATCCAGGCTGGAGTGCACGGTTCACTGCAGCCTCGACCTTAAGCAATCCTCCCACCTCAGACAACAGGCGCACACCACCATGCCCTGCTAATTTTTTTTTTTTTTTTTTTTTTTTTTTTTTTTGAGACGGAGTCTTGCTCTGTCGCCCAGGCTGGAGTGCAGTGGCATAATCTCAGCTCACTGCAGGCTCCGCCTCCCGGGTTCACGCCATTCTCCTGCCTCAGCCTCCTGAGTAGCTGGAACTACAGGCGCCCGCCACCTCGCCCAGCTAATTTTTTGTATTTTTAGTACACACAGGGTTTCACCGTGTTAGCCAGGCTGGTCTCGATTTCCTGACCTCATAATCTACCCGCCTCGGCCTCCCAAAGTGCTGGGATTACAGGTGTGAGCCACCGTGCCCGGCTTGCCCTGCTAATTTTTAAATTTTTTGGTAGAGACAGGGTTTCGCTATGTTGTCCAGGCTGGTCTCAAACTCCTGGGTTCAAGTGATTCTCCTACCTTGGCCTCCCAAAATGCTGAGATTACAGGTGTGAGCCACCACACCCAGCCTAAAAGCACATTTTAAATGATTATTCCTTGAAGAAAAAATTTGTCTTTAACTCCTGCGTAATTTCCATATGGAGGATCTATTTCTCTCAATATAAACATCGTCTCTCCTGTAGATGCAAGTGGATTTTGAATATTGGTATTTCATGCAAATCAAGATGGGACTGGACAGATGTTGATTGCTCACTGAAGTGTCACTTTGTTATATGAATTTTCTATTTTTCTCCCCAAATAAATCCCTTCATTCTAAAATAATATTAATTGCTGCTCTTGCCTAAATTTCTCCCTGATCTTTGTTTCTGTCTCATCTTGCACCATGTTGTCATATGGTTTTCTTGGTGGCTTTACTTTGGGTGAAGAAATGTGTTTAAATGTCGTAGGTTGACTGAGGCTGTGAGTTTTATTCTGGAGAGAGTCTGTGTAGTCATGGGTTAACCCTCTTTCCATGGTGTTTCAGCTGCACTTAGTGCATTGGAATGCAGTCAAATTTGAAAACTTTGAGGATGCAGCACTGGAAGAAAATGGTTTGGCGGTGATAGGAGTATTTTTAAAGGTAAAAAATACTCACCAGCTTTAAATGATGTGTTGTATTCTAGAATGGAAAAATAGAACATTATAATATTGTTATTTACTTTAAGAATATTGGGATCCATACATTGGTAAGATAAGTAGTGATTGAAATACAGGATTGTACGACCAGGCATGGCAGCTCACCCCTGTAATCCCAGCACTTTGGGAGGCCGAGGCAGGTGGATCACGAGGTCAGGAGTTCAAGACCAGCCTGGCCAACATAGTGAAAACCCATCTCTACTAAAAATACAAAAAAATTAGCCAGGCGTGGTGATGGGCGCCTGTAATCCCAGCTACTTGGGAGGCTGAGGCAAGGAGAATCACTTGAACCTGGGAGACGGAGGTTGCAGTGAGCTGAGATTGCACCACTGCACTCCAGCCTGGTGACAGAGTGAGACTCTATCCCAAAAAAAAAAAAAAAAAAGAAATACAGGATTGTTAAGAATATATTTTAGGCCCAGGCACAGTGGCTTATGCCTGTAATCCCAGCACTTTGGGAGGCTGAGGCAGGCAGATCACTTGAGGTCAGGAGTTAGAGACCAGCCTGGTTTCCATGGGGAAATTCTATTTCTACTAAAAATACAAAAATTAGCTGGGCATGGTGGTGCGCACCTATAATCCCAGCTACTCGGGAGGCTGAGTCAGGAGGATCACTTGAGCCTGGGAGGTGGAGGCTGCAGTAAGCCAAGATTGTGCCACTGCACTCCGGCCTGGGCAACAGAAAGAGACTCCATCCCCTGCACCACCAAAAAAAGAATATATTTTGAATGGTATAAAAATGCACAGCCCAATAGAGTGGTCACACGCCACATGTGGCAACTGAGCACTTGAAATGTGTCTACTGCAATTGTGGAACCATTTTTCATTTTATTTAATTTTAATTCCAATTTAAGAACTTATACTTAAACGAAGCAGGGGGCACCTTACTCTGCAGGCATGCTGACCTTGTCAGCAAACAGCCTGCTCATGTGTTCTCTAATTTAATTCAGTAATGTTTATAAAATTATCAATTACAAGTTTAAGTGTAATTTCAGTCATGCAGTTTGTTTTTATGTAATCACCAGTTAGTTAATTTTAATTCACATTCTGTTACAGTTTCTACAGTGAGATGTCCATTGTTTGTAATATTTTCTTATTTGTTGTTCTTTAGCTAGGCAAACATCATAAAGAGCTACAGAAATTAGTGGATACTTTGCCGTCAATAAAGCATAAGGTACTATTTGTTTTCCATAATTACTTGAAATGTACTTTTATGTTTCAGTCTCAGAGTGGAGACATTACCAAGGCACTTTGAATTGGGAAGTTTAATTACGTGAACTGTATTCAGCCTTAGAAGAAAACTGTCATTTATGATTCCAGGGGACAGAAGTCATGATTCTGTGGGTAGGCAGTGAGCTTTTTGGTTTTGCCGCGGTGCCGCTGAGGACTTGGGGACTCAGGAACATATTGCTGTCCCCTCCTCTGTTCCTGACACCAGCTCTTTCTAGGTCCTTGTGAACATACCCAGAGCAGCCTTCTTGTCTGTAACTGTCATCCCACAGGCAGGGAGCAGAGAGCAGGTCTACAGAAACTTGCCTTGTCCAGCTGGAAAGAACAATAATCCACATCCTTCAGGTCGGATGCCTTTGTCTAGTCCCCCAATATTAATTCTTCAATATTTAGAATCTCAAAGGGCTGCTCTGTGGAGGCCCATATATTCTCCTTCTCCCTCTCATCCCCCACTGTATCCCTCTGGTCCCCACCTCTTTCCCTCTCCTTTCCTCTCTGGAAGCCCATATATTATCTCCCCCCATCCCCCACTCTCTCCTGGTCCCTACCTCTTTCCCTCTCCTCTCCTCTCCACTCCTCTCCATTTTCCTCTTTTTCCCTCTCTTTCCTTTCAGTCCAGGTTTCTGGCTCCTCCTGATCTGCATTTCTTCCTAAAAGGACAAGTCTCAGTTAGCCTCTCTTGAAAATGCAAAGCCTCCTTCTTTAAGCAATGGCCGCTGTCTGAAACCTCTCAACAAAACTCAGAGGAGACTACCTGATGTAACCTCACTAGAATTGAGAGATCAAATGGCTTTGGCTGTGTTCCTACTGTGGAATATAAAAAACACACAGTTAATTGCAGAAACAAAGCCTGGACATGATTCCATCCTAAGCAGCAATTCTTCAGGAAGCTGCCCAGAAAGGCCCGGAGCTCCTCTGGACCACTGCTCATCTCCACATACTCCCTGAGAACCATCACCTCGTTGTCCGATTCCTGAGTGGTTTTCACCACTAAATAATGACTCAGTTATCTCTTCTCTTGGCCAGGACACCCTGGTGGAATTTGGGTCATTTGACCCTTCCTGCCTGATGCCTACCTGCCCGGATTACTGGACCTACTCAGGGTCTCTGACTACCCCACCCCTCTCCGAGTCTGTTACCTGGATCATTAAGAAGCAACCAGTAGAGGTTGATCACGATCAGGTATGTTCTCTCCACAATTTCAATCTAAGGAAATCCTTGTCTGCCCATTTAAAACAAGGCTGGGCTCAGACTGTGGCATCAGTTTTAACATCTTGTAATGCTTATACATTTCTATTGAAGTGTACCAACGTCTTGTCTCAGTTTGGACATGAATTTGGGGATGTTTCAAATTAACTAGAGAGAAGAGTTAAAACACAGAAGAACATAAGCTTTTTACATCTATATTTGACAATTACATATGTCTTCTTATGCCTTGTGTATTTTATATATAAATATTAAACTCTACAAAATCAAGACCCTTTTAAAGGAAAGAGTGAAGGCTGGAAATGAATGTGTTCAAAAGTCTTTAAAATCCTTAAGGGAATTCTACTATAGAATCTCAGAATAAATATAGAATTCAACAGTGTTTGTCCAGAAACTTTAATGTAAGTTTGTTTTTTGAACTTGGGTTCTGTTTTTCCCTTAGAAACTAAGCCTAAGTAGTAGTTACTATGCAAACACTCAAAATCCTGTATAATGTATAATGTAACTAAACTACAATAATATTTACTCATACTTGTTTTATGGGATTTTTATTGATTACAAAGCATTTTCATAAGAGAAAAAGCTTCCAAATTCTTTTTATGAAGCCAGCATAACTGATACCAACACTCACCAAAGATTGGAACCCCCTCTAAAGAATATAAAAGAAAAAAAAAGCTAAAAAGAAAGTATTAGAAACAGAATCCAGCAGATTCATCAGAAGAAATAGACACTTTGTCCAAGTAGCTTTTAGTCCAGTAATACAAGAATGGTTCATTGTTAAGAATGATATTAATATAATTCATTCTATCAGTGGATCTAAATAGAAAAATCATATTATCATTTCCAGGGAAGTTAAAAAGATATTTGTAAAAATCACCATTCCGTTTTTGAAAATTTTTAATAAAACAGAGCTGAATAGAGACTTCCCTATCTTGATAAAAGGGATTGATCTCAGTTCAAAAGCAAATAATAGGTTTTGAATGGAAAGGATTGTTACCGTATTAAGTTTTATATTAAGTTATTCATTCTGGAAGTAGCCAGTGCAGTTAGACCGGAAAATAAAAAATAAATTAGAGAAACAATAAAAAACTACTACAAAAATCAGAGATAATTTGGTAATCAGTGGAATACAATATTAATTTCTAGAAATCAATACATTTGACATACATAAATCACAATCAGTTAAAAGATATGATATAAAGATATAATGTAAGAAGGGCCCCTATTTATAATGGAAACAAAAATATAAAATACTTTGGAATAATTTTAACAAGGAAAGTTAACAAGAAAACTTAAAATGTTCCTGGAGGATACAAAAGAAGGCTTGAATTAATAAAGTTAACACATTATAGGATCAAAAGACATAAAGACACCTTTTTTGTCATAAATTACAACCTAAGTTGTCATTCTTCATGACTTGTTTATTCACCATAAATTTAATGTGTTCCCAATAAACATGCCAATAGGATTTTTAAATTGATATGCTATTTCTAAACTCATGAATAAAGACAAACACATAAATAGCCAGGGAAAATTCTAGAAAAATACGGGATAATTAGACTCACAAGGTTATAAAGCCTCAATAATTAAATAGCATGTTACTGGCACATGGATAAAGAGATCTATCGAGGGAAGTATATTAGCATTCTCCATAGAAACAGAACCAATAGGATAGATATTGTATTAGTCCATTTTCACACTGCTATAAAGAACTACCTGAGACTGGGTAATTTATGAAGAAAGGATGTTTAATTGACTCATAGTTCCACAGGCTTAACAGGAAGCATGACTGGGAGGCCTCAGGAAACTTAAAATCATGGCGGAAGGCAAAAGGGAAGCAAGGACCTTCTTCACATGGTGGCAGGAGAGAGAGAGAGAGAGAGAGAGATCAGATCTCGTGAGAACTCTTTCACTATCATGAGAACAGTGAGGAGGAAATCCACCTCCATGATCGCCTCCCCTGACACAGGGGGATTATAATTGAACGTGGGATTTGGGTAGGGACACAGGGCCAAACCATACCAAATATAGATAAAGATTTAAAAAAATTAAAAAAGACAAAGTTGATAAAGTTAGATAAATAACCCTATAAAGGTTAAATAACCTTAACTCTATAACCCTATAAAGATAAATAAAGAAAAAGATAGATAAAGTTTTATCATAAGGTATTGGCCATGTGATTATGGAGACTAAGAAGTCTTACAATCTGCCATCTGCAAGCTGGAGACCCAGGAAAGACAGTGGTGTAGTTCAAAGTCCTGAGAACTGGAGAGCTGATAATGTAGATTTCTATCTTGGTCTGAAAGCCTGAGAACCAGGAGCTCCGAAGAAAGGAGACAATTGATGTTCTAGCTCAAGCAACCAGAGCAAATTCAACCTTCCTCTGCCTTTTTGTTCTATTCAGACCCTCAATTTATTGGATGATTCCCATCCACTTTGGGGAGGGCCATTCTCTTTACTCAGTTCACCAATTCAAATTCTAATCTCCTCCAGAAACATCTTCATAGACATACGTAGGCATAGTATTTAACCTGTCTGTGCATCCCGTGGCCCAGTCAAGTTGACACATAAAATTAACCATCACAGGAAGAAAATAATAATTTCAGAAATATGTCCAAATACATATGAGAATTTATTTTATGATAAATGTAGCATCTCAACTCAGTTGGCAGGAAAGAGAGAGTATTCGGTAAATGCTGTTGAGGAACAATTGAGCAGGCATTTGGGGGAAAAAATTGGATCCACCATGCAGACCTTACACAAGAATACATTCCAGATATATACCACCATAAAAGTACTAGGATAAGCATAGGAAAATCCTTTTATGCCTGCAAATGTATAGGCTTTGTGGCCTGTACATTTAGTCTGTTTCTATTCTTTGGATTAAAAAATTGACATATTTCCTCAACTTATTTTCATTCTAGATAAACAAATGGACATAACATTGAAAAACAAAGTAAATACATCAGAGGGTCAGTGGCCCATGTGAGGACTTTGTAAATACAATTTCAACGAAATTTTAAAATTTATTTTTCAATTATATAATTTAAAATTTTATTTTGTATTTTCTGGTCTAACTGTACTGGCTACTTCCAGAATGTAATTTAATATAAAACTTATGGTAACACTGAAAATTTAGTAAGGAAAACAATGCTAGCTGTCATCTATAATATTATTCTAGTTGCCTATAATTTTACCACTATCATTGTTTGGGGAAATCCTTCTGGTCTCTTGTCTATCCAGATGCACATAAGTCCTTCTGGTCTTTTATCTATATAAATATACACAATTTTTGTATGAAAATGGAATCATTCTGTACATACCATTTTGCTGCTCTTTTCACTCAGTGATGCCTGGAACATTTTTTTTTTTTTTAAAGACAATCTCTAGCTGTTGCCTGGGCTGGAGTGTAGTGATGCGATCTCGGCTCACTGTAACCTCTGCCTCCCGGGTTCAAGCAATTCTCCTGCCTCAGCCTCCCAAGTAGCTGGAATAACAGGTGCCCACCACCACACCCAGCTAATTTTTTATATTTTTAATAGAGATGGGGTTTCACTATGTTGGCCAGGCTGATCTGAAACTCCTGACCTCGTGATCCACCCGCCTCAGCCTCCCAAAGTGCTGGGATTACAGGCGTGAGCCACCGTGCCCGGCCGCATGGAACATTTTATAGATAATGAACATCTTCGGTGTTTTTAAGGACTGTATACTAGTTCATTTCATAGATAGATGTCATTTATCTTTGATACTTAGACTATTTCTAATCTTCTGCAATTAGCTGAATAAAAAGAAACATTAATTGCTTGTACAGCTTCCTAATTAGTGAGGGCTTTTGTGTGATTTGCCGCTGTATGATAAACATTGCTTGTTTTCAGTGCTAGTTCTGCCTCTTCCTCTCTATTTGCCCTGAAGCCTTTGTTGCAAATGACTCTTCACTTGCTTGTCTACTGTGCCCCAGGCTGTCTTCTCAGTTTGAATGAGGGGAATGTGAATGGATTTTCCTGCTGGCCTGAAGTAAAATATTTCCTTTTATTTTTTTTTTTTTTTGTTTTGACATGGAGTTTTGCTCTTTTTGCCCAGGTGGGAATCCAGTGGAGCGATCTCAGCTCACTGCAACCTCCGCCTCCTGGGCTCAGTAGCTGGGATTACAGGCATGCGCCACCACGACCGGCTAATTTTATAATTTTAGTAGAGACAGGGTTTCATCATGTTGGTCAGGCTGGTCTTAAACTTCTGACCTCAGGTGATCCGCCCGCCTTGGCCTCCCAAAGTGCTGGGATTACAGGTGTAGGCCACCACGCCCAGCCTAAGTAAAGTATGTCATAACACAATTGGGTCTGAAACCAAGGGGCTACTGGTCGATACTGCTGCTACATCAGAGAACAAGCCGTTGATATTCTGGGTTGCTCCTTTTGCATTGAGCTATATTGTCTAATAGTGTAACCACTAGACATATGTAACCATTTACATTTAAATATAAGTACATTAAAAGTAAAATTCATTTCCTCAGTTACACTGGCCACATTTCAGGTGCCCAGTAGCCATATGTGGCTTGTGACTACCGTAATGGACCATGCAGAGGACATTTCCGTCATTGCAGAAAGTTCTATTGGACAGCACCAGTATAGAGAATCCTGTCTCCAGTTAAGACACCTACATGCAGCCTGGTGTGGTAGCTCACACCTGTAATCCCAGCACTTTGGGAGACCTAGGTGGGAGGATCACTTGAGGTCAGGAGTTCAAGAGCAGCCTGGGCAACATAGAGAGACCCTGTCTCTACAAAAAATTTAAAAATTAGCTGGGTGTGGCAGCCTGTGCCTATAATCCCAGCTAGTTGGGAGGCTGAGGTGGGAGATCACCTGAGTCCCAGAGGTTGAGCCTACAGTGAACCATGATCACACCACTGCACTCTAGTCTGGGTGACAGAGTAAGACTTTGTCTTAAAAAAAAAAAAAAGGAAAGGAAAAAATAAAGACATCAATATGCATTGCTTTGCCCACAATACCCAGGTGCAGTGAGCAATCAGTAATACTGATTTTATGTTAATGATTCAGTTAAATTGTTTTATAAACCCACTTTTTTTGGTGTTGTTAGTATATGCATCAGACCTTTCCTTTCTCATTCTGTAAGCTGGCTCTTTTGCTTATTTAAAGAGGAGGTTCTTGAGAATGAAAGAGATGAATTAACTCATCATCCTTGGTAAATGGATAATATGTGGGGACAGGGCCTTTGCCCCAAGTCTTTGGATCCCAAGGGCCCTCCTGGTTTCACCACCTCCTGCTGCTCTCCTCCCCACAGGACCACCATCAGGATCACCACCACCACTGGGCATTTTATTCCCTGTCAAGTGGTGAAGGCATTCTTACCCAGAAATAACTTCTCCTTCTGTATCTAATTTGCAAGGAATGCTCAGAATTGTAAAAATGAAAGTAATTTATTCACGAGGTAAAGCAAGTTTTCTATTGAAATTATTTCTGCTTTCTGTTTCTATTTCTAGCTTGAGCAATTTCGAACCCTGCTTTTCACTTCTGAAGGGGAGAAGGAGAAAAGAATGGTGGACAACTTCCGCCCTCTTCAGCCACTGATGAATCGCACTGTCCGTTCATCCTTCCGGCATGATTATGTGCTGAATGTACGAGCGAAATCCAAGCCGGCGACCAGCCAAGCAACCCCCTAAAACGTTCATATCTAGGCAGTATTTTGCTTTTGCTATAATATATACTAGCTTACTAAAAATTGTTAACTAGACTATTCTAAGTGCCTGCATTTGATAATATTTACAGATGAGCATTTCTTAGCATGAGAGTGCTTCATCAGTCTTTGAGGAAAGTGATTCAGTACCTGCTAAGAGACACAAGTTTTTCTTGCAGCTACCTGCTGGTAATTGTAATGCCTTTTTTTTTTCTTTTTTTCTTTTTTTTTTTCTCTTTAAGAGACTAGGTCTTGCTCTGTTGCCCAGGCTAGAGTGCAGTGGCCCAGTGATAGCTCACTGCAGCCTTGAACCCCTAGGCTCAAGCAGTCCTCCTGCCTTAGCCTCTGGAGTAGCTGGGGCTACAGGTGCTGGCCACCTGGCCCGGCTTGTAATATCTTTTTATGTCTGACATTTTTGAGCTATCTTTTTTATGTTTATCCATTAGCGGTTCTATAGCACTATACATAGGGATTATAATCAAAAGTAAGGCACAGACACTGACCAGAACTCAGGCCTTTCAGAAACAGCCTGTTGGCCCAGACTGGTACTTCCTGGCTGAACATTGGCCATGGTTTTAGATGTATTTTATTTTATAACATGAATGTGTATTCTTTCATAAGGGCTTATCAATCAGTATATTATATTTGCCCCAGTGTTTAGTTGTTACAAGGACATGATACGCTTACTATCGATTTATGATGTAGAAAATATATTTTGTAATTATAAGAAAATAAGACTTTTCCTATACCCAGAAATCCCTTTGCATTTCCGAAGATCAGATATTTTACTTAAAGGTCTGATCATATAGGAAATATATGCAGAATATTTTAAAGAAAATGCTTGGCTGGACACAGTGGCTCACACCTGTAATCCAGCACTTTGGGAGGCTGAGGCGGGAAGATCACTTGAGGTCAGGAGTTCGAGACCAGCCTGGCCAACATGATGAAACCCTGTCACTACTAAAAATAAAAAAAATTAGCCAGGCATGGTGGTGGGCACCTGTAATGCCAGCTACTCGGGAAGCTGAGGCTGGAGAACCGCTTGAACCCGGGAGGTGGTGGTTGCAGTGAGCCAAGATCGCACCACTGCACTCTAGCCTGGGCGACAGAGTGAGACTCCGTGTCTAATAAAAAAGAGAAGAGAAGAGAAGAGAAAAGATGCTTAAAGTGCCTAGAACTTAGAATTCTTTCATTGTACATTTCCAGAAATATTTTTCAAAGGACTAGTAATCTAATAGCCTATGGTTTATAATATTATTTTGTATTATTTGCACACTGTTACATAGTATATAATGATAATGTTTTCTACAGTGAAAGAGCTATCCTGTCTTCACTTTACAACTGTCTGAACTTTATTTACTCATTAGTCAAGGTTCTTTGCAAGGCAGGTGATTAACTTAAATCTCTCAGTTTATACAGTGCTTTAAAAAACTTTTGTTATGGTAATAGGGAGAGAAACTTGTCAGATAGGCTAAAATCTAGATAATTCTACATATTCTGAGGAATTCTTGCCCCCGTGTCTCTTGCTTATAAATATCTTGGAATGTTTCCAAATGCGTCTAAGCCTGTGTTCAGACTCAGTGTTGCATCAATGACTGGTAGTAGTTCTTTCATTAATATGTTTGTCATCTGGTCTGCAAGATAGGGTTGGATGAATATACTTAACACTACTGACTGTACACTTAAGATGGTTAGGAAGGAAATGGGACTACATCAGACTTAAAAATTTCTGTGTGTCAAAGGAAGCAATCAACAAAGTGAAAAGGCAAGCTCTAGAATGAGAGAAAATAATTGCAAATCATAGATCTTATAAGGACCCCAAATCCAGAATATATGAGGAACTTCTATAACTCAACAACAAGAAAACCAAATAACTCAATTTTAAAAAATGGGCAAAGGACTTGCACAGACATTTCTCCAAAGAAGATATACAAATGGCCAATAAGAACATGAAAATATGCTCAACATTGCTAATTATTAGGGAAATATAAATCAAAATCACAATGAGTTATCATCTCACGCCCATCATGTTGGCCACTATCAGAAGAACAAAAAAATAACAAGTATTGGGGAGAATGCAGAGAAGTTGAAACTCTTGTGCACTGTTGGTGGTAATGTAAAATAGTGGTCATGGAAAACAGTACACGGGTTTCCCAAAGAACTGAAAACAGAATTACCATAAGAATTACCACCAAAGCGGGATCTCAAAGAGATATCTGTACACCCATGTTCATAGCAGCATTATTTACAATAGCCAAGAGGTTCTGGAAGCATCCCAAATGTCCATCAACTGATGAATGGATAAAGAAAATGTGGTATATACGTTCAATGGAATATTATTCAGCCTTTAAAAAGAAGGAAATGCTATCAAATGTACAATGTGGATGAACCTTGAAGGCATTATGCCAAGTGAAATAAGCCAGCCACAAAAGAACAAATACTGTATGATTCCTCCATGTGAGGTGTCCAAAGTAGTCAAGATCATACAATAGAAAGTAGAAAAGTGGTTGCCAAGGGTTGGGGGAAGGGGAGAGGGTGAATTTGTATTTAGTGGGTACAGAGCTTGTGTTGCAAGAATTCTAGAGATCTGTTGCAAAACAAGTGTGATTGTACTTAACACTACTGAACTGTATACATATAAGTTTGAGAAATAGCTCTTTTAAAAAGGGGGAAATGTGAAGGCTTTTGCATGTATGCCCTAGGAAATGCATAAAATTCTTTTTTTTTTTTTTTTTTTTGGAACGAACTTCCGCTCTTGTTGCCTAGGCTGGAGCGCTATAGCGCCATCTCAGCTCACTGCAACCTCTGCCTCCCAGGTTCAAGCAATTCTCCTACCTCAGCCTCCTAAGTAGCTGGGATTACAGGCGTCCGCCACAACACCCAGCTAATTTTTGTATACTTAGTAGAGACGGGGTTTCACAGTGTTGACCAGGCTGGTCTTGAACTTCTGACCTCAGGTGATCCACCCGCCTCAGCCTCCCAAAGTGCTGGGATTACAGGCGTGAGCCACCGCGCCTGGCCGGAAATGCGTGAAATTCTTAAAAAGGTAAACATGGTAAAAAGAGAAGTCTTTGTTAATTTTCTGCAGTTCACCTGTTTCGAAGTATAGTTACCTTTAAAAGAGTAAACACACAAGATATGCATTTTCCAGAGCACGCAGGCTTTCCTCCTAGCTGTCTTGTGAAACGATCAGTGCAAAACCCTACTGCACTGAGTTTTCCAAATTGAAGGGAGAAGCAATGTACAGAATGCTGACTTGCCCTTACCTCTTATATCTAGTGTTCTGGCGTGATTATTAACCACACTCTTTTTCACTTTGAACCATGTCCTGGTTTGCATGGGCACCTTCCCTGCAGAGGTGATAGAAGCTGGCTTGAGGCAGTTTCTTTCTCCATGCCTTAGTTAGATGACCCTGAAAGGGGCACGGCGGATTTCCCTGGCTACTGATACACCTTAACAACAAGCTTGTGTTTTTCATGCCCTCAAGTGTTTTACTTGCACTTTCCTAGACATAAAGGTGGAAAATTGGGCCTAAGGTCTGTCAAAGGTCTTGGAAAAGAAGATTGTATTAAAATTGCTGCCCATCTTCATTAAATAATACTAGCTCAATAAAAGCCTTTCTTTACAATATTAGTGGTTGGTGAAAGACTTCCTTCCTATTGTTTCAGTCTCTATATATGTCTGTAAATTAATGAGATATCCTTTAACAGGTTCAGTGTACACTGGTTACCAACCTATCTGAGTCCAGTGTGACAGAGCACACTCATACCCAATACATTACATGAAGCAGATGTATTACTTACAGACAGGAAGCAAGGGACAAAAGAGGCCCTGGCTCCATGGTGAGCCAGTACCCCAGGGCTCAAGAAAGCTGCCCGGGGCAGGGCTGATGGAGTCTTGACTGTAGGTGCCCCACTTGCACCATAGCCTGCCTTGGGTTATATACCATAGGAGCCCCATAACTCATTGGGCAAAGCTTTAAAGGACATCCTGCTTCCAGGAGAGAGAGGAACACAACCTGGCTGTCTCAAACAGTTCCTCCCTAACTCAAGATGTTACATTCCCTAGGAGGGACACGAACGGGGCCAGGCTGTTTCAGGCAGTTCCTCCATATCAGGACATTGCATTCTCAGTGCATTCTACAGTTACTCTTAAGAACTCCAAGCAAGGAAGAAGGGAGAACTGGGTCAGTCCAAGGCCACCTGGAGAACTGTCTTGTACATGGGTTAGGGTAAAGTTGGCTATTCTAAAACCAGGCATCCACCCAAAAGAAGTCTTGGAAGACATCTTTCTCTGTTAAATTCAAACGATGGTAATTATAGTTCGGAAATGGAATTGGCTTTTAGAGTTACATCTGTAATGAAATTAATAAGCAATTCAGGCCTATTTCTGAAAATGAATTCAGTGGTTAATTGTTAAAAATAAATGTCTAACTCCTATAAAAGGAAATTTACATTCATTTCGAACTCACTAAAAAATCTATGGCTGGGTGCAGTGGCTCATGCCTGTAATCGTGGCACTTTGGGAGGCCGAGGCGGGCAGATTACCTGAGATCAGAAGTTCAAGAACAGCCTGGCCAATATGGTGAAACCCTGTCTCTACTAAAAAATACAAAAATTAGCCGGGTGGTTGTGGCATGCACCTGTAATCCCAGTTACATGGGAGGCTGAGGCAGAAGAATCGCTTGAGCCCAGGAGACGGAGGTTGCAGTGAGCCGAGATTTCTTAGAAGGAATTGTTATTTATTGTTCTGAAGTGAAAGTCTGGTCTGATTCATAAGAAATGTTACAACAGCTCAAACACTGATGCTTTCAGAATGGGCAGCAATTCTCAGCGTAAATTCTCATCGCAAGGACCAGCAAAATTGGTGACTTGCATAGCTACAACATTCTGTGCCATCCAGGGCACTCTACTTTGGGGATACAACTCCCAAACCTCCAACTAGACAGTTTAGTTTAAGATTTAGTCAAGAAGCAGAAAGGTGAAAGTGACAATGTGTAGTAAACCATGATAGATGTTATAAAAGGTGGAATGCTTGTACTGGAAATGCATACACTGCCTCACCCCTCAGGAGGTTTTCACACTAATGATGATGGTGATGATGATGTAACAGCTAAAGTTTTGGAGGCATTCACTATTGCTAGGCACTGTATCAGCATATAGCATGGGTTATCTTAGTTTTCACAATAAAAGCGTTATGAGATGGGAACTATGATTACTCTCTTGATTTTTACAGAAGAGAAAACAGGAGTAGACATTAAGGAATTTACTCAAGACCCAACGGATGCACTGAGCTGGACAAGGTCACCTTGAGGCTGAAGGGAATATGTGTTGCTCCAAGTGTGTCGGTATAAGAGAGATTAGGGTGAGGTTTTATGCAGAGTTTGGGTTTCAGTTGAGTAATTCTAAGGAGGGATTAGGGGAAGCAAGGCAGTTTAGTAATTGAGTATCTCAGCAACTTTAATTTGGAGGAGAACGGAACAAAGCTAGGCCAAGGAATCTATTCAGTCACTCAAAAGATAGAGGTTGTTAGTTATTTTACAGCTGTAATGTATCCTTGTGAGGAACATTTTTTGCTTGGCCTTGTCCCTGGCCTTGTATGTGTACATTACAGTCTGATTATTAGTTGGGGTGATTTTTAGTTTCTCAATCCCTACTCTTATTGCCCCAGTTTAATTCCTCATCACCTCTCACCTAGATTATTGTGATATTCTAGTTTTATCTTTTAATCCT